TTTTTTTTTTGAGACGAGGTCTCACTCTATTGCCCAGGCTAGAGTGCAGTAGCATGATCTTGACTCACTGCAACCTCTGCCTCCTGGGTTTAATCAATTCTCCTGCCTCAGCCTCCCCAGTAGCTGATACTACAGGTGCTCGCCACTATGTCTGGCTAATTTTTTCGTATTTTTAGTAGAGACAGAATTTCACCATGTTGGTCAGGCTGGTCTTGAACTCCTGACCTCAAATGATCCGCCTGTCTTGGCCTCCCAGAGTGCTGGGATTATAGGCATAAGCCACCGGGCCCAGCACCTTTTCAGGTCAGAAAGTAGCTCTTGGCCAAGGTAACCAGACTTTGACCAGACACATGTAGTGGCCACTTAGGACAAGCAGCAAATGATCACAGCTGACAAGAGCTCAGATGATCACCCTCAGAGCATGTGCAGTCCACACAGACACACCGGCATCACCCTCGCTCTCTAGACTTGAGGATGTCTGCCAACTCACCCTTGCAGAATCACCCCTAGGATAGACACTGAGGCAAAGTGCTCGACATGGGGAAACTTACCTGATCTCTGAGGCAACCCCTACCACCCTACACAAGGAAAATGAGGCATGTTACACACACTGTCACTGACACAGGGACACTGCTTACACAGTTCCAGGTGTAAATAAGCTGCAGAGGTGTAGGGAAAAAACATACTGTGCATGTGCAAGTGTGTACATGCTTCAAAGAGGAGATGACAGATGTGTACAGGAACTTTCTGGAAGACTTCACAGAAAATCTGTTGCCCATGCCGGAGTGCAGTGGTGTCACCATGGCTCACTGCAGCCTCAACTTTCCAGGCTCAAGCTATCCTCCCACAAACAGCTGAATAGCTAGGACTAGAGGAATGAGCTGCTGCACCTGGCTACAGGAAACTTTACAAAGCCTGCTTCTGGAGGGTTAGCTGGGAACAGGGATGAGAATTTTTTTTTTTTTTTTTAACTGAGTCTCGGCTCACTGCAACCTCTGCCTTCCAGGTTCAAGTAATTCTTCTGTCTTAGCCTCCCAAGTAGCTGTGATTACAGGCACATGTCACCACACCTGGTTAATTTTTGTATTTTTAGTAGAAATGTGGTTTCACCATGATGGCCAGGCTGGTCTTGAACTCCTGACCTCAAGTGATCCACCCACCTCAGCCTCCCAAAGTTCTGGGATTACAGGCGTGAGCCAGTATGCCCCGCCAGGGTTGAGGAAATTTTACAATGTTTTATTTGTTTCTAGACTGGGTGATAAGGATGTATGACAAAAGAGGTTAGAAAAGGCTCCTTCTGACAGAGCGCTGGCTCACAGCTGTAATTCTAGCACTGTGGGAGGCCTCAGCAGAGACCCATCAGTGATCAAACAGGCAACCCCGCCCTTAAGCTGCAGTAAGAGCCTGAGTCCTGCTTCCAAGAAGAGGGGAAGAGCCGCCCCTCAGGGCTCCCAGATTCCCAAATACTCACACATATGGCCAAGGGTGAGTCCACCCCAGCAGCCACTTACCTGGCAGAAAGACTTCATCTTGTCCAGAACCTTGTTGACCTCTGGCATCACATCCTTGCCATCTACCAGGATGGGTGTGTTTGACCGGTTCCGCAGGGCCACGTGCAGCACGGCTCGACCCTGGGGATGGGGGTCAGGGTGTGAAGACAGTCCCCCAGGGCAGCCGTGCTTCCAGCTCGGATGATAGCTCGGCCCTCTATCCACTAGACAGGTAGGCCCTGAGGTCTCTGTTAGCCCCGTGATCTTGTTCCAAGAACCAACTGTATGATTACAGAGGTAGGAGCTCCCCAAGGACTTATGTGCTGCAGACAGGAGGAGGTGGGGCAGGGGACCCGCATATGCCTAGGACAAGCCCCAAGGGCCCGCCATAGGTGCTCAGGGCATGAAGAGTGAGAGAAAAGAATAGTGAGCAAAGGCAGATAATGGTGACAACATGTGTCAGAAACAAGCAATAAATACTTTCAGAGGCCGGGTGCCAAGGCTCATACCTGTAAACCCAGAACTGTGGGAAGCCAAGGTAAGTGGATCACCTTGAGTTCAGGAGTTCGAGACAGCCTGGCCAACATGGTGAAACCCTGTCTCTACTAAAAATACAAAAATTAGCCAGGTGGCATGGCACACACCTGTAGTTCCAGACACTCAGGAGGCTAAGGCAGGAGAATGGCTTGAACCCGGTAGACAGAGGTTGCAGTGAGCCGAGATCGCACCACTGTACTCCAGCCTGGGCGACAGAGTGAGACTTCATCTCAAAATAAATAAATAAGTAAATGCTTTCAGAGGATGAGCGCTCATGAAGTCTCAAGTAACATAATCCTCCCAGAGTGTGTCCATATGGTGTCTGCTGGCACCTTTTGGGCAGTGTCCTCAGCTTCTTGGATTTGCAACAAGGCATGCAACTCAAGCTTCCCTCACCAAGCAGCCCGGTAACTACCAACTGCCAGGAACCGAACCAGACTTGAAGTCTGTGACTGGTGCCAGGTGTGACATGGTCACGTGAGTGAAACAGCCTGAAGAAGAGTCTTGAGGGAAGGTCTAAAGACCCCAGGTGGGCAGGCAAAGGATCGTCTCAGGATTTCAACCCAGTGAGAGGCTTGCTAAGGTGGAGGGCTTCATGCCACCCCACCCTCACCCTGCCAATTCCACTTCTGCCCCACTTTTCACAGGCGAATGGACCCCTCCAGAAAGCCTTCCTTGACTGGATCCTCTCTCTGCAATGCAAGACAGGTTGAATGTGAATCTCCACTCTGCCTCTTACAGTGATGACATCTTAGATAAGTGATGTGACCTCTGAACCTCGGATTCCTCACATGTAAGAAGAGGATAGGGCCGGGTGCGGTGGCTCAAGCCTGTAATCCCAGCACTGTGGGAGGCCGAGGCAGGTGGATCACGAGGTCAAGAGATCGAGACCATCCTGGTCAACATGGTGAAACCCCGTCTCTACTA